ATGAGGAATCTGTACATGGACCAAGAGGCAATTGTTCGAATAGAACATGGGAACACTGAATGGTCAAACAGATCTGTTGGAAGAAGTGCAACCAGAGTGCTTCTTGGAGGCCAAGATGGCCAAACTTTTATCTCTCATACTTCAGACATATTGTCAGGAGGGACCAGTCTCTGGAGAAGGATACCATGTTTGGTAAGGTAGAGGGTCAGAGAAAAAGAGGAAGACCCCCAGCGAAATGGATTGTCAAAGTGGCAGCATCAATAGGCTCAAGCATGGCAACAATTGTGAGGTTGGCCCAGGGCAGTGTTTCGTTCTTTTGTGCATAGGGTCACTATGAGTCAGTACCGAACCGATGGCACCTAACAACAATCTTGGTGGTGGTGTTAGTTATGTGCTGTCGAGTTGGTTCTGATTCCTAGCGACCCTGTATAGGGTTTCTGAGAGCCACTGGTGGGTTTGAATTGCTGACCTTGCAGTTATCAGTCCAGTGCTTAGCCTATTTGGGGTAATACAGTTCTGTCCTGGATAGTGGTTGTAGTGCTGGGTTCCTTAGTCTTTTTTTTTTAATAAGCCTGATTACTTGAGATAGACATTTAAATACAGACCCTTAAAGCAGTACATAGGACTCCTGGTGTGGTACTGCAAGATAAGTACTGGACTTCAAGGTTGGCACTTCAAACCCACTAGCTGCTCCTTGGGAGTCCTATATAGGGTCTGTATGAGTTAGAACAGACCCAATGGCACTTCAAACAACAACAGAAAAGCAGTAAATGAAGAGCCGAGGTGGAGAACGGCAGGTGCTGACCCGATCTGTCTCTTTGCAGTTCACCACCTTTGTGTGCTGCGCCATCCTGATCGCTGTGGTACAGTACTGCAACTTCTGCCAGCTCAGCTCCTGGATGCGGTCCTCACTGGCCACCATCGTTGGGGCTGGGCCTCTGCTCCTGCTCTACATGTCCCTATGTCCAGACAGGTAGGCGGCTGTCCTGGTATCTCTGGCCTTTTAGGTAACACCTCAGTGCTAGAACCAACACTCCTGTAGCACATACTCCTGTCTCAACATGAAACTTACAAAAATCAGTCAGGAAATGAACAAAGTGCCCCAAGGGTAATATGGGGTCCTCAGATGGAGCAATTGATGAACACGCTCAACTGCTTGCCAAAAGCTTGGTGGTCTAGTCTACCCAGAGGCACCTTGGGAGAAAGACCTTGCAATCTGAACCAAAAAGAAATTTTGCTGTCATCAAGTTAGTTCTGACTCATAGCAACCGCTCTGAGACATAGGAGAACTGCCCCATGGGGTGTCCCAGGTAACACATCTTTACAGAAGATGACTGCCTCGCCTTTTCCCACAGAGCGATTAGTGGGTTTGACCACTGACCCTTCGGTAGCCAAGATCTTTAACCACTGCGCCTCCAGGCCTCCCTCCTTTCAATCTGCTTCTAAAAAATCAGTTACTGAAAATGCTGGTGAGTTTGACCTGCAAGCCTTGTGGTTCAAACCAACCTTACAGCCAAGGGCTTACCCTACAACGCCACGCCAGGACTCCAAACATGATACTTTGTTGTTGTTGTTGTTAAGTGACGTCGAGTCAATTCTGACCCATAGCGACCCTGTATAGGGTTTCCAAGGAGCAGCTGGTGAGCTTGAACCACCGACCTTGCAGTTCAAATGGCTTTGCAGTCTGACGCATTAGCCCCCAGCGCCACCCCAGACCTCTGAGAATGCTGTGGAAGAAGAACTCAGCTTTCCTCTTATACATTTGCAGCTGGAAGCATAATGGGTATGCATTGGGCTGCTAACCACAAGGTCAGCGGTTTGAGTCTACCAGCCACTCCACAGGAGAAAGACGGGGATTTCTGCTCCTGTAAAGATTGACAGCCTCAGAAATTCTCTACAGGGTCACTGTGAGTCAGAACCAAATCAGTGGCACACCACCACCGCTGTGGTTTTGTGACTTTTGACCTCTTTTTACTAGATAGGTGGTTTTGTTGTTGTTAAGTGCCATTATGTTGGTTCTGACTCATAACGATCCTGTAAAGGGTTTCCAAGGAGTGGCTGGTGGGTTTGAACCGCTGATCTTGTGGTTCAAACCGATCTTGTGGACCTACAGCGCCACACCTCCAAAAATGCAGTAATATAACACATACAATGAACAACTTACTGAGGCATTTCATAGTAATACCTTGAGCTCTTTTAAGTTTTCTCTATCAGTAACAACTTGTAAGTATTCAGTTTTTACGTAACTGCTTGGAAGAAGCATTTCACTGTGAATGTGTTTTAAAGAACTACCTAGCTCTTTCAGTAGGATTTAGACTTACAGGATGTTGTTTAGGGCACGTTTTCTACAAATGACAGTAACCTGCCAAAGTCTTCAGCAGTTCTTTTTGAAATGACTCCCTTATTTTCTTAATAGGCACCAGGGTCTGTGCTTGATCCCAGACTCCATCCCATAGCACATCATGAATAAGTCCAAACAGGAAAACAGATGCTGTAGATAGCTTTTCTGTTTGAGCTCATTGACCTTGATGATTGTGCCTACTTTCCATGGCTGACCCAAAGGCCTCTGGGCTACGTAACTATTGGTATCCTGTTGTTATTCTTAATAAGTTGACACATAGTATCAAACTGTAATAAAAATCATCCTGAGCTGTCTGATTTGATTTCTGAATTAAAAAAAAAAAAAAAGGAAATTTGCTTGTATAATCACTTTTCCTGTGCACTGTCTTCTCTGCTCTTGTATATTAATACTTTTCTGCATTTTCACTTCAGCTCCACAGTAATTGCAAACCTGGATACAGTGCAGAATTACAGGTAAGCTTTTCATCTTTGTCTCAGAATGAATGAGAGTAACCATGTCAGCACTGCTGCTTCCCAGCTTCCTGAAAGCAGTGTATCTTGAATAAAATGAACAGTGTATATTACCAAAAAAAGAGAAAACATGGACAAGACTGACTTGTTAAATGTCATCTCTGGAAAAAGAAAGTGTTTGCATATTACAAAGAAAATCTAAAGATGTGTTGTTGTTAAGTGCCTTAGAGTAAGTTTCAACTCTTAGTGACCCTGTATAGAGTTTCTGAGGAGCGGCTGGTGGATTTGAACTTCTGACCTTAATGGTTAGCAGTCCATTGATTATTCTGCACTACCACACCAGGTCTCTTATTTTGAAATTGCTCATGAGAAATTGGAAAGGATAAATGTTAAGCCCTGACTTTTCTGTGAATATCAAAATGAATTCTGAATATTAGAGGCAAAAATATTAATGTAACCATGTAAAATCTTGAAAAAAATAATTACCAAGTATTCAAGACATAACATTCCAATTTTTGAAATATTAACCACAAAAGAAAATACTGCTGAAGAAATTACAGACAGACAGAAAGTCAAAGGAGACTGAGAAAAGTATCTGTGCCACTGGTGTGGCACTGTAGGATGAGTGACCAGGAGGGTCAGCAGTTCAAACCCAGCAGCTGCTCCTTAGAAACCCTATTAGGGGGTCACTGTGAGTCAGAACTGACTCAACGGCACTTAACAACAACTGTTCAATTAGGAATCGTGGTGTAGTGCTGTAGGATGAGCACTGGACTGCTACCCGGAAGGTCGGCAGTTCAAACCCACCAGCCCCCGGAGACCCTATAGGGGTCACTAAGAGTACAATAACATTATATAGGGTCACTATGGGTCAGAATCAAATCAACAGCAATGAGTTGTATTACTATCATATAAAGAGCTAATTAAGACATAGGAAAGTAGATGAAGGACAAAAAAAGGCAATATGGGTAGAAGATACACATGGAAGTGTAACAAACAGTGTTACTGTGAAGTCATTGCCGATTTAGGTAACTACCTAATTCCTGTTAGCATAGTGGTTATGAATCGGGCTGTGAACTGCAAGGTCAACAGTTCAAAACTACCAGCTGTTCCACAGGAGAAAGATGAGGCTTTCTGCTCCCGTAAAGATTTATAGCCTTGGAAACCCTGTATAGGGTCGCTATGAGTCGGAACCGATTCCACAGCACACGACCACAACAACAACAACTAATTCCTGTTGGTCTTTAAATTGTGCCTTCAGAGAGCTGCAGTGACAAATACAGTAAGGGTGTGTTGCATTCTGAATTGTTGTTGTTTTTCACTGCTTTTGAGTCAGTTCTGACTCATCGCGACCCGTATAGGGTTTCCAAGGAGGGGCTGGTGAGTTTGAACCACCAACCGTAGAGTTCAAACCAACCTTGCAGTCCAGCGCATTAACCCACAGCGCCACACCAAGTGGTGTCTGACTTTTATTAACTCCCAGGTACTGGTCCTGTTTCACTGGGAGTTCTGGTGTGGCACTGTAGGATAAACATTGGACTCAGTCTCAAGGTGAATAGTTCAAACCCACCAGCCACTCTTGGAAACCCTATACAGTGCCGCTTAAGTCTGAACTGACTGGATGACGCTTAACACCAGTAACACTAGGCACTTAGAGGAGCCTAGGTTGCAGTGGTTAAGCATGTGACTGATAACTGAAAGTTCAGTGGTTCAAACCCAGTGGCCACTCCTTAGGAAAAAGTGGCTTCCGCAAAGATCCTCTTGACAACCCTGTGAGGCAGTGCTCTGTTCTGTAAGGTCATTACGAGTCCGAGGGTGACTCAACAGCAGTGGGTTACTATGGTTAAGTGCCGGTAAGTTGCTTCCAACTCATAATGGCCCGATACAGGGTTTCCAAAACTTTTTAGATCTTTGCAGGAGCAGAAAGCCTCATCTTTCTCCCATGGAGCAGCTGGTGAGCTCAAACTTCCGACCTTGTGGTTTGTAGTTCTGTGTCTTGTTGCTTATCTTACAGAGCCACACCAGGACTCCAGTCCTGTGTGTAGGCATTTAAAATGTACGTCTAATTAATCCTCTCAGTAATCTGATACATGAGTAAGTTAAAACGTATCGCTGCTAGGAGTCCAGTATACATGCACAGGTTCATTCCTGGCAAAGCGTGTTTAAAGCTGTCTCTGCCATCAGTGGGTGGCTGCAGTCATACACCGGTCTGAGTCTCACTTGGATGCTCACAAGAAAAAGGATACTTTTTGTGCCGAGGGAAAAAATGTTTTTAGGTCAGGGCTAATGTCAGTTTTTTCATAAAACTCGAGTGGACATCTTCTCAAATCTTTGAAACTTTGCTACAAGCTTGTAGGAATGCCGTCCCACATGGAACAGCTATGTTTAGCTGGAACCAGCATTTTAAGGAAAGTTGGGAAAACCTCAGAGATAAGCACGGCAGAGAAGTCAGCTCCGAAGGTTATGTGATGGGTTTTTGGGATGCCAAAGGGTTCATCTGAATAGATTTTCCTAAAGGACACAGGATGATCACAGAAGCTTATTAGGAAGAAATTTGAAGACAATTGAAAACTGCATTGGTGAGGAAAAGGCCAGGAAATGTTTTCATCATGACAGGACGCCTGACATTCTTTAAAGCTACCAAGGGCTGTCCTACACGAATTTGTCTGGGGATTCTTACCTCATCCACCATACAGCCCTGATCTTACCCCTTCTGGCTTCTTTTTGTTCCCCAAACTCAAAGAATGTTTAAAAGGAACATTTATAAATGCCAAAACTGCTGTGTAGACAAGATGTAAATCAGAGAGTACAGAACTCTTCAAGGAAGGGCTAGAGAGATGGAAACATTGCCTTCAGAAGTCTATAGACCTAGCTGGAGGCTAGGTCATCACATAGTAGCTTCACAATTTCATCTTTTACTAATAAGGGTGCCGATGACATTGTAATAATACTTTGCCCATAGGTGATTTTGTCCTTATTTTACAGATGAGGAAACTGAAGCTCAGAGAGGGCAAGGCACTGTTCAGCAATCACACAGCTAGTCCTTGGCAGTAGCAAAACCCTGACCTCCCTGATTCCATAGCTAGGTTTCTTCTGTCATGCATCAATCCAGTAGTTTCAGAAAGTAGTTTGGCAATCTGTAAAAACCAGTCACAAAAATGTTCATGACCTTTAATCTAACGATTGCATTTTTGCTCATCTCCTGAGGAAATAGCTCCACATCTAGAAAAGGTTGTGTGTCCAATAACAATTCAGCACAGTGATAATAGTGAAATGCATGAGCAGCTTCACTTGTCAGTCATAAAGAAAGTCAGTCAACTCTGATGCAGGTACTTAGTTACTGAATCTGATGAAGAAATGGAAAGTTCTGCTGCAGCACTCTGGGACACGTGTGAAACTTCAAACAGACTGTAGCTACAACTAGGTATTTTATAACATGTGAAAAAAAAAGGTAAAAGATCACTCCAAAATGATGTAATATCATGAGTTTATGAGTGGTTTTGTTTTGTTTTTATAATGAAAAAATACCTGTGGGTGTTTAGATATTGGTACAGAGTGGCTATGGGGCTATGTTTGTAGTTATAATGATAAATGTTGTTGCTGAGTACCATCCATTTGGTTCTGACTCCTAGCAACCCTGTATAGGGTTAAAACTGTTGACAGTTGTTGTTAGGTGCCGTCCAGTTGGCTCCGACTCATAGTGTCCCTATGACTAGGATCAGAACTAGAGTCCTGACAAGTAACACACATAGGACTCTTCTTTTTTAATTAACTTTTTGTTGACATGTAATATTTATATAGGAAGGTCCCAGATATGAGACTACAGCTCTATGAATTTTCACAAAGTAACACATCTGTTTAACCACCACCCAGACCAAGAAGTAGAACAGTATCAACATCCCAAAAGGAGCCCTGATGGCTCGGTGGTTAAACATTTGGCTGTTATCAGAAAGGTCAACAGATCAAATCCAGCAGCCACTCTGTGAAAGATGTGACACTCCACCTCTGTAAAGACGGCAACCCTGGAAACCCTATAAAGTCACTAGGAGTTGAAATGGACCCACAGCAATGGAAGGGAAAAGCGCCCCAAAAGTGTTTCTCAGACACCTCAGAAGGGCTTCTTGTGCTCCCTCCTAGGTACTCCCTTGCCCACTCCTAGATGTACATTTAAAATTACAATGAAATATGCTAAAATGCTAACAAACACCATGTTTAGCTAAAGTGGCAAATTATTTTTTTCCCTTCTATTTTCTATCTTTCAATCCCTCTTCTCAGTGATAATGGATTACAGTCTGTTTAACTTTAAATTTCATTTGATGCAGTATCCAATTATCAAACCATAAATTGACTCTCACATTCGTTCAGTCACATCTGATTTCTCCTTGGGGAACTGACCTTTGCAGCTTGAGTTTGGTTATAGGATCGTAGCTTGTGTCCCTCCTGTATTGAGTAAGCAATCGAGGCTGCACGTTGGAAGTCATGATTGTGTGTACTTGGTGCCAGTATCTTCTGTTGCGGATCAGCCACCTTGGGTACCAGCTATAAATTTTGTTTATTAGAACTATTTTTCTTTTAACCGAAAAACAAGCACACCTGTTGTCACCGCGTCGACAGGACAGAGCAGGACTGACCGCTCCTTCAGGTTTCCAGACTAAACCTGTATGGAGCAGGCTGCCTCATCTTCCTGCGGTGGAGAAAGCTTAGCAGCCAAGTGACTTCACTGCTCTCTACCTCTTTTTCTTTTAAGGAAGGTAAAAAAACACCAATCACTGTTTTGCCTTTCCCTTGCACACCAGCCCATGCTTTGCTCTTGCCACTCCCCACACCCACCCAGTCCATGCAGGACTGGCGTGTGCCACCTCCAAGAGGTGAGCCTTGACTCCAGCCACTGAGGGAAATGCAGCTGACTGAGGAAACCCGGTGACAGACACCCATTTCCATGCAGGCTGATGCCATTCGATGGGGTGGCACGGCGGCGATGTCTACCTGTACAGAGGCTGTTGCTAACTAGCACAGCCTTGGAGACGATACCAGGAGGGGGACGCATCAACCCCAAGATGAGCTCACAACAATGGAAAGGCTAGTTCCTTCTCTTCTAGGTTCTCTCCCTCCAGTAGTGAAAAAAAAGCCAGCCAGAGGGCTTGAGGTGCTGGGCCCAACTGTTTTCATCATGGAAAAGGATCACTATTTTGCTTAGCAGTAGAGGGTTCTGAGGGCAGATTGTCATTTGCTCAGCTGATAGGCATGTTAGCAAAAGAAATGTGAGGCCTAGTGCTCCTTTCACAGAGGACTTTGTGTTCCTCCTCCGCAGCATCGGTGGGGAGGCTCAGGGTCAGTTCCCAGACAGTGCAGTGTGGTCTTTTGAAGCCCTAGTGGCACAGTGGTTAAGTGCTCAACTTCAAATTAAAAGGTTGGTGGTTTGAACCCAGCAGCTACTCTGCCGGGAGAAAGACTTGGAGATCTGCTTTTATAAAGACTATTATAGCCTAGAAAGTACTATGGGGCAGTTCGACTTTGCTGTAGGACCTCTAGAGGTGGAAATGGACTTGATGGCCACGGTGTGTGTTGAGGACTGAAGTACAGGCAACAGTGAATTCAGTGGTTAAACATTTTGATTCAGGAACAGTATTTTCTGTGTCACGGAGCTGTCTGCGTAACTGCGAATCCGTCTATTTATGTACCGACCTAGCCCACTGGCCCGCTCTGTGTGCTTCAGAAATACATCAGACCCCCACAATAGGTATGAACAATCCCAAAATCATTTTTAAAAACAGAGCAAAGACTAGAAGGAAAAGTCCACATATATTCGTGGTAATTATCTCTGGACAAAAACAAAAATGTTTCCCCCTAAATTGTCTGTGATGAGCATGTAGTACTTGTTGTTGTTGTTGTTGTTGTTGTTATGTGCCGTGGAGTCGGTTCCAACTCATAGCGACCCCTTACAGGGTTTCCAAGGCTGTAAATCTTTACAGGAGCAGAAAGCCTCATATTTCTCCTGCGGAACAGCTGTTAGTTTCGAACTGCTGACCTTGCGGTTCGCAGCCTGATTAGTAACCACTACGCTACCAGAGCTCCTTATAAATGGGAAAATATCCATTTTAAAAATAAATTTTTAAAGAGAGTATGCTACTCCCCACTAAGCTTCAGTCTTCCGACCCCAACCCTCACCATCAAAACTAGGAGTGGCTCCATGGGAAACAGGTTAGATAATTGGAGGGATTCAAAATCCGTTCATCCTCTTAGAAGGACAGTTCGGAAATTCCTAGCAAAATCCAAAATGCCCAGTATTTACAGTGATTCAGCAATTCCATCTCTAGGCATGTGTCCCACAGGAAAACTTATTGCCACACAGGAAAACCCCAGTGACCATCAGTGAGATTCGGGCTAAATTATAACACATCTGTGCAGTAGAACTCAAGATACTCTAATACTGGTTTCTTCCAAAGAGAAACAGGGACTTTTTCATTGATTGTTCGGTCTGAGTTTCACTGTAGTTGTACGTATCTTACATACTCTTTTAAGAAATGTGAAAGTTCTCTTAGATGATTTTGGCAAAACAGAACTAGCCCAGAGGGGGAGAATGGTATTTTGCCCAAACTTTTATTTGGGAAGAGAACATATAACAATTTTCTGGAAAATAGTCTTTCTAAAGCAAAGTTGAGTTAGAAATCTAAGGCACACATATAATTGATATTGATGGTCTGATCATATAGGGAAATGTCCATATTCTTAGGAATACGGACTGAAATTTCTTGAGAGAGGGAGTGTGTGTGTGTGTGTGTGTGTGTGTGTGTGTGTGTAGAAAGAGGAGAGCAAAGTAGCAAAACTTTAATAAGCATTGAATATAGGTGTAGGATACATGGGTGTTAATTTTACAAGTTTGCTAGTTTTTCAAAATAAAGTGTTGTAATAGTTTGTAAAGTTTGCAAACTACAAAGTTGAGGGAAAGAAAGGAAAAAAATCATTTTAAATATCAAGAAGCTAAGACTTCTGAAATTCAGTCAGTGATTTAAGGGGGGGGGGTGCATTTCTTAAAGAAATTAACAAGCAAAATAGGCTAGTTTCTCTCAACATATCTTCAGCCAGGTCCATGAGTGTGGGTTGCTTCATGGCTCCAGGTGGCTGGAGACTGGACCTGACATCACGGTGAGCAGGATGCTGGTGAGCCTGCCTGTGTCTGGACCTTGCAGGGCAGAGCAGGCACCTCTCCCGGTAAGATGCGTTTAAAAGGCTCTGTCCTTTCTCTTCCCTTTGCTCTCAGCTCTGAGGGGAGTCCATGCAATGGTTCACTACCACACGACAGCAGGAAGCCAGCCAGCCTGATCGGCCAGGAGGCACTGCTGGTCTTCTTCCTCCAGCTGCTCCTAGTCTGGTTCCTGAACCGGGAGTTTGAAGTCAGTTACCGCCTGCACTACCACGGTGATGTGGAAGCGGATCTTCACCGCACCAAGATCCAGAGCATGCGAGACCAGGCTGACTGGCTGCTGAGAAACATCATTCCCTACCACGTGGCCGAGCAGCTCAAGGTCTCCCAGACCTACTCCAAGAACCATGACAGCGGAGGGGTCATCTTCGCCAGCATTGTCAACTTCAGCGAGTTCTACGAGGAGAACTACGAAGGGGGCAAGGAGTGCTACCGGGTCCTGAACGAGCTCATTGGGGACTTTGACGAGCTCCTGAGCAAGCCCGATTACAGCAGCATCGAGAAGATCAAGACCATCGGGGCGACCTACATGGCCGCCTCGGGGCTGAACACGGCCCAGTGCCAGGACAGCAGCCACCCACAGGAGCACCTGCACATCCTGTTTGAGTTCGCCAAGGAGATGATGCGCGTGGTGGACGATTTCAACAACAACATGCTATGGTTTAACTTTAAGCTCCGTGTAGGCTTCAACCACGGGCCCTTGACGGCAGGAGTCATCGGCACCACCAAGCTGCTGTACGACATCTGGGGGGACACGGTCAACATCGCCAGCAGGATGGACACCACAGGGGTGGAGTGTCGCATCCAGGTGAGTGAAGAGAGCTACCGTGTCCTGAGCAAGATGGGCTACGACTTTGACTACAGGGGGACAGTGAACGTCAAGGGGAAAGGTCAGATGAAGACCTACCTCTACCCCAAGTGTATGGACAATGGGATCGTGCCACAACACCAGCTGTCCATCTCCCCGGATATCCGGGTCCAGGTGGATGGCAGTATCGGGCGGTCGCCCACCGACGAGATCTCCAACCTGGTGCCTTCCGTACAGAACTTGGACAGGGCGTCTGTGGGGTCTGATGGCAGCCCGCAGCCCAGGGACATCCATCTGTCTTCTAAGCGGCCGTGGAAGGAGCCCGTTCGAGCAGAAGAGAGGTCTCGACTGGGCCAAGCCATAGAGGAAAGCGACTATGATGAGGTGGGGCTGGAGGAGGCCAACGAGCTCACCAAGCTCAATGTCTCCAAGGGAGTGTGACACAACTCTGAGGCTGCCCACGGTGCTCTCCTCGTTGAAACAGTAACATTTGTACCCCCAGGGCCACCCCTGGATGTGGCGTGCTGTCATCCCTTCCGCCTGACTTCCGTGTGGAGCGCGGAACCGCGTTTCTCCCCACGTGCTCTCTGCCAGGACGCCTCCACCACCGCCATGTCACCCGCTCCGCAGTGTGGAGGGTCACAAGTGCCTTCAGGGTGGGACTGAGGCCGCGGGTGAAACCGTGGCTCTGGATGCTACTGAACTTTGAAAACAACAAGCTGGGGTTAGGACGTCATTTTTATTGCTTTTTATCACGAGACACTAGTTTGTTTTGATTTGTTTAGGTTTTTTGGCAACTACAATATTTCTGTGGGGGTTTTTTTTCCTCTGTATACATAATGATGTTCTACATGACTCGACTTTCTATGTAAAAACACACACGCACACACATTTGCATTTATGAAACTGATACAAAGTGCCAGTAGTTTACTGAGAAGGGGCCTTCGAAGGGGCGCGCGAGCTGAGAGCAGTCAGCTGTCCAACCGTCTCTTTGTGGACGCTCCGCACCCAGGCCCCTGTGCCTGCTGGCTTCAGAACTCTTCCATTTCCGGGCCAAGATGTCAAAGGCTAACAACATGGTGTGTGGGTGTGAATGGGAGCCCAGGCCTCAGGTGTCTTCGAAAGCCATCATTCATCCTGTGTCTCCTGCCCTCTCCACCCTCCACCCGCCCAGGAATTTTCCACTTGGGAGTGAAAGTAGTTGTCTTCAAAGCTGCCTGGCCCTAGAGAAACGCAAAATAAATGTCCAAGGGTTGCATTTATTTATTTTATTTATTTATCAGGAAGTGTGTCTGCACATGTTGGGGATGGGTCCCGCAGGGGGTCGTGGTAAGAGAAAATGGGCTCTGTGGGGCTAGGGAAGGGCAGAGCAGGTCCAGGAAGCGCCTGAAGGCACCCTTCAAGCCAGTGTGCTGGGAGAGCACCTCCTGAAGTTGAGGGGTCCTCACGGAGATCAGATGCACTCTGGGGCTGGGAAGATGCTCAGCCTCCCTTTACAAATGGAACACTGCTGCAGAGGGGTCAGGATCAGGCCCCCATCCCACCCCGAAGAATAAGTAGACGCGTGCTCCATCTCCACCAGCTCCACCCTCGGCCTTGTGGTTTCCCACCGGCAGACCAAACGTCACCCATCTGTAGGAGGAGTCATTCCTGGAAGCCAATGCCAGCCCTTGGCCTGTTGAGTTTTTACACTGTATTTAGGGACAGAGTCGTCTGGATGTTAATGAGGCATGTCACTCGGGGAGCAGTAGAAACTCGAGATGTGTCACCGCAGCACTGTTTCTAACTAGCTTTGAAGTTTATGGAGAGCTGAGCTCCAGTTGTGGCTGTATTTTTTTTCAGAGGCAACACCGGTGCACAACTCAGACGCTCATTGGAGGATGAGCACCTTCTCTATTATGTCTTCCCTGGCGTGCCCTTAAGCATTTTCCTCTTCACTGTTAAATGTAACTCTAGCGTGGTCACAACTGCGTTAGGCTCCAATAGCACCCCCATCCCCATCCCCATCCCAGACGCTTACAGTATCTGCGTAAAGGAGTAGCGCCTCTGCTAGGTCAGTTCATCAGGAGACACACAGAGGTGGCTGCACAGTGTACAGGGTCTTGGCATCTGGGAGCACAGGGCTCTCTCATTCATCTTCAGATTCTCCTTGGAGCATCACCGTCAGTGTGTTGGTCTTCCAATCCCACGGAGGGGACAATTGTGACAATACCTCTCCTAAAAAATGTTTTCTTCTAAAGTATTACAGAACTTATATTTTTCTTCTTTAGAGACACTACTTGATGTTCGCCTTGAGTGGAGGAATTGTTGGCGCTTGGGGAGTCTTCTTTCAGCAGTATTAAGGGGTGTATTCAAGGGAAAACATCTTTTTGTCCTCCCTTCTCCTGGCTCCAGAGCTAGAGCGGCCGCTAACAGGGCCAGGCCCTTGCCAACAAGCGACACCATCTCTCTGGAAACCCTTCTCCTCACGTATTTCCTCCCTGTCCAGCCCTTTTCCTTCCCAAACCACAAAGGTGACAGAGGCACTGCTTATCTAACAGCTGGTGGCCTGCTCTAGCTTTGTGTGGACAGGAGCCTGCTACCAAGGGCGATTATCCAGATTTCAGAATCGTCTTGAAAAACCACCCTGAGCCTTCAGAAGTGGCTGGTACACATGCTCCCTCTGGGCCACCTGGTGACTCTTGACTCCCCAGGTCCCTGCCCTGAAGCATACCTCAACATAGAACATGGCCCGCCCACAGTGGAGACATCGTGGGTCCAGATGGGTTGGCAGTGAACAAGTTGTTGCTGAAGACAGATGGGTTTCTGAGCTGTGGTCTGAAGCACCGGCAACAAGAAGGGTGTGTCCTTTGGGGTGGCAATACCTCTTCTGAATTTAGGGCAGGAAGCAATACTTGAGCATTGAATGTGTGTACATAGTTGCTCTGAGTTGCAATGGCTGTTTTCCTCTCAGACCAGATTTTATATATACATACATGATAAACAAGCACACATAATTTTATCCAATGCAAACCAATGTAAAATATCAGTTAGGAAACCCACCAACAGCCCAGAGAGCTCCCCCCCAAGTCCCCAGTGTCACCCCACCACGCATGGTCCTACCAAAGCTGACTTCTCCCTCACTGCGTCACCCCTGCACATTTGCACATGACATGGAGAGCCAAAAGGCGGCGTGCTCCTCATCACGCGGGCTAGAAATTACTAGTAGTTTTCCAAAGATACAGCTGTATTGAATTCCTAGACTTTCCAGGTAAGCTTTTTAATTTTTATTATTTGGATTGGTGGTTTAAGGAAAACAATAAAAAAAAATTCACACCCTGCCTAGTATCTGAAGTTCAATGAGCAAGAACAAACTGCTTTGCTTTTTCTATATTTCTTTTGCTCTGCTTTTTTAAAATTGTTAAATTTGAACTAATTTTAAACTGCATCCACTGAAGAAATGGACATTAAAAATATTCTGAAATCGAAATACTTGATCTCTGGTATTTCCTCTTTGAAGAGAGCACTCATTGTACTCTTCCTGTGGTCGTCATTCTTTTTGCTGAAATGGAAAGATTTACTTTTTCTTCACATCATGCCTTGAGAAACAGGGCAACTCAAAACGAATCAAAACGTGTATATGCATGTGTGTTTTCTTTTCATAGAAATATTTACCGTTGTCCGTTTCGGTTGAGAAGTATTTATTTTTACATAGAATTTTTAAAAATAAAAATCAGGTGGCAGGACACGTTTTGCTTGTGACAGGCCTTCTCCATTACTTTTCACCCCAACTTCTCAAGGGAAGGAGCTGACTGAGAAAATTAAGGAGGTTTTCTGAGCAACTGTTTCCACAGCATTTCTCCTTGGCAGAGTTATTGGGACACCATATTGTCATGCTTCCTGGTGTTTGGGGGTAGTCACAAACCCATTTAAAGTCCCTGAGCCCAGAAGAACACACATACCATTTTATACGTATCTTAGGGAATTTGTCAATATCTTAGCAAGTTCAAACGTTCAAATCTGAAGCCAAAATATCTATCTTTCAGGGCTCCATGGGGAGTCCTTGGGTGGTACAAACAGTTATCACATTTGCCTGCTAACCAAAAGATTGGAGGGAGGTTCAGATCTACCCAGTTGTTAGGTGCCATTGAGTTGGTACCGACTCATAGCGACCCTGTGTCCAGCAGAACAGAACACTGCCTTGATCCTGGGCCAACCTCACTACTGTTGCCACGCTTGAGTCTATCAATGCTGCCACTTGGCTAATCCATCTCGCTGGGGGTCTTCCTCTTTTTCTCTGACCCTCCACCTTACCAAACATGATATCCTTCTCCAGTGACTGG